GCTTGAAAAGAGTGATCACATGATCCTCTTTAAAAGAGTACTGCTTGGGTGTTCTTAGTTAGCTCGATGCCTTGCCTTGCTTAGCAGGTGGCACTCGAGTGTTAGCCTCAGCGGCCAGAATATATTTCCCCTTTGATCGGGGAGTATTATTTTGGCCACATTGCGTCGGTTGTCTTTGCTTGCCTTCCTCTTCAGCTTTAACCCTAGCGACAATTTCCTCAACTTGTTCACCTTGAGAGACTAGTTGCTTCCATGAACGGTATCCTGTGACCCCCATCTGAGCTAAGAGACTGGTCTGTAAGTTGTGTCGACAGGTTTCCACAAGAGTTACCTGCATCATACCAGTTAGGCATCGGAGAGCCATGCTTTAAAATATTTTAATGAAGACTTTTATGGGTTCCCCTCTCCTTTGCTTGGTGGCTAGAAGAGAAGGGACTAAAACTTCTGAGTCGTCTTCGAAGAATCTGGCCATAAATAGTCTCTCTAGGTCTGGCCACTTCTGGATAGATCCCGAAGGCAGTTTCATGAATCATTCAAAGGCAATCCCCTTGAGGGTGCCAACGAACAAACGAGTTAGCACTGTGTCATTTGCTATCACATTTCCAGTCTGCGACTTGAAGTAATAGATATGACGATTGGGGGATCCCGTGCCATCAAAATCCTGTAGGGTCGGGACCTTGAACTTTGGTGGATACGGGGCAGCATCTCATTCGACAGGATAGGGCCTAACAATCCCTTCCTCTTGGAGTTCGTTTTTATTTGTAATGGCATTGAGGCGGGCTTCCAATTCCTCTATTTTAGTAGATTGAGGGTTTTGCTCATTCTCAGTCTCCTTTTCTTTTTCAGAGGATGATTCTACGTAATGAGTTTCTTGCTCAGTAGTCTTATTCGATCTTTGTTTCCCCTTTAATATGGACGATCCCCCTTTTCGGGAGGATTCCGGCCGAGTTTGTGACTCAACTTTCTAGAAATTGGCTCTATATGTAATGAACTGTGTCATCATATCCTGAAGTTGATTAATGGTTTCCTGCTGTGCTTAGAGCATGGCTTGCTGCACATCAATCCTCTTTCAGAGATCTTCGGAATTATCTGCCATATAGGTGGGGCTCTCATGTTCTGTGGAGGAGCTAGAGGATTGAGATTCTGCGATAGCTAAATGTTCCTCATTAGACTTCATCCCTCTATCTAGTCTTCAGTAGTTAACAGGGAGTATGACTCCTTTTCACATCTGAGTACATCGAAACATTCCATCATATTCGTTCAAAGCCTCTTTCAAACCATGGGGTTGATCCTCCACTGACTCATCGGAGCTAGGGATTGGTGACCTCTTCATTCTGATCACATTAGAAGTGGTTCCAAGGTATTCATCCTCTGAAGCCTTCTTCCTATAGGAATGTTGTCGCTTGTATGGCCTCGACGAGGTGACATATGTTAATCGGTCGAACACCAATGGCTTGGTCGCATGTGAACAGCACTAGCATCCTGAGAGGACCATGGAAATCAATCGTTCATATTGACATGAATGCGTGACTGGTTGAACGCGACGGCTCACATTGCGTTTAACATTAGAAATACAAGGGTCACATTTTAACATTAAAACACAGGGGTTGCGTGGAGGAGAGGAAACACAAAGGTTATGTTTTAGTTGAACTATGTGGAGCTGATGCTCACGTTCAACGCAGAGCTGGCCTCTGCACTCAGGCTTAGCAATGCGAGGGTCATGCTCTGCATGGTCACGAGATCTACGCTCCGACTGGGTAATGCAGACTTGAGGTCTGTGTTCAATGCAGTCTTAAGGTCTATGTTTTGATTGTAAAACACGCCACTGAGGGCAGTGTTCGGTCTGGCTTCAGCAAAGCTTGTGTTTGGGCACACAAACGTGAAGCTCGAGCTTTGAAATAGAAACGCGAAGCTCAGGGCTACGTTTGGCCTCACAAATGCAAGGTTCCCGTTGATTGGAGAATCGGCTTTCTTGGAGTTATGCTCGTCGATGGGATCTTCTTCTTCGATAAGCGACGTTCTTCTTTGTCTGTCTTAAGGATTTTACAGCGACATCTTCCTCCGTAGATATCAATTTCACCGCTTCAATGGGCATTTACAACCCAATACCCGTTGTTTAGGCATGGATGTAGGATCTTCAACTCGATTGACGAGTTACATTGGAGCTAAGTATTCTCCTTCGGAGAAGGGGCTGTCTGAACAGTCCAACCTAAGAGAAAGACTCTCCTTTAGTAGGTCAGCGATGGGTGGAGCTTTAGTCTCTTTAGAGACTTTACGGGCCTTACGCATAGCCTTAGGACTAAAGGATCCAGAGGAGAGAAACTACTCATACTTGGTTTGGTCAAACTCCACGGTTAGAGCTTCAACAATAGTCCTGATGAGTTGGGTGTCGGATTATGCCACTACTTCTTCATCGATGAAAGAGCATATCCCCAACGGAGTCGTCATCTTTTGTGTGTACGAGAAATTGTGAGAAATCTGAGGATGAAGTTGGTATTAATCTCCCTAACTAATTTAGGAAAAGAATGAATATAATCTCTCACAATAATCTCTCTCTAACAACTTAGAAAAATAAATTGCAATCTTCTCGATCAGTTTTCCGATTTACAAAAGAGGGAAGGATGAAACCCTCCCTTTGTTTAAAGTAGGGTTCTTCTTTGTGGCGATGGGAGATTGAATATTGTATCACGTTGACAATCCGAGCACTTTAACTTCGTGGGGATCAGTCTTCTTTCCTTGATTTGATGTCTTGAGAGAACTTGCAAGGCAAGTTTGAAACTCTTCATGAATTTTGGGAACTCTCTGTAAGGGAGCTAAAACTTGCAACCTAAGTTTGGAACTCTTCACGAGTTTGGGGGACTCGCTAGGCAAGTTATGAACTCTAGGCGATTTTGAAGGGAACTTGTTGAACAAGTTGGGAACTCTAGCCGAGTTTGAACTCCAAAGAAGAGTTGATTTTTTAGAGAGAAGATGAACCTCCAAGAGTACTAACCGAAATGGGTTTAAAGACCAAGCCAAGAACTCCAGGAAGACTCTCCAAGAAGAACTTCTCCTTCTCTCTCTTCTATTGTCTGCTGCCTCCTCTCTCTTGCCTCTCTTTCTTCTTTTTTTTTGGCCCACTCATTTCTTGCTGGAGATCCAGCCATATATATAGGGCAATCAGGGGGGGTAAGACACCCCTTAACTGGCCCTTAACTGTACCTATACCTTGACAGGATAGTTTTAAAAACTGTTCCTGAGTCAAAATGTAGGGGCCACGTTCTAGAGAAAAGGACACGAGGTGAACCCTACATTTGGGATCTGGAACGTGGGGCAAGCCCTGCATTTGGGATGTGGAACATGGGGCGAGCCTTGCGTTTGGGATGTGCAATGTGGGGCGAGGCCTGTGTTTAGGATTGGAAGCGCAGGGTGACCCCTACGTTTGACCTCGGCAACGCGGGGTGAACCCTATGTTTTGCCTTGGAAGCGTAGGGTGACCCCTGCGTTTGATCTTGGCAACATGGGGTAACCCCTGCGTTTTGAGCTTTTGGGACGCGGAAGAGGGCTTCCGTGTTTGGATTTGTAGAGATCGTCAATTGTAATCTCTTTTCTTTGACTTTCGTGCAGATTTCCATCTTGTAATCTTTACACTTGGCCCTTGTGGTATGTGAGAGTCGTCAATTTATAACTCTCGTACGTTGCTGTGAAAGTCTTCACATTATAACTTTCATCGACTGTTACGAAGGTTGTCAGATTATAACTTCCGCTTGTTGATGTGAAGGATGTCATATTGTGTCTTTTATCATCTGTTGTTTTGTAGGGATCGGCTATTTACAATAATTTTTAGACAGCCTACATGGTGTTAATTAAGGGGTTGGCCGAGTAATACCATCTATTGAGTCAGGGCTACGCAAGTTGTTGGCCAATCAAGTCGGCAATGTTAAGGCGGAGGTTATCTTGGTCTTGTATTAGTCTAGTTAGGTATAGTGTAAGACACGTGTCAACTTATTTATGGAGAATAATATTTAGTAATTTATGGGTTGTAACATTATGCTTGATTCTTCTACATTTAGAACCCCGTCTACAACCAGCGAAAGAGCAAGGATACAATCAGGTTGACATATTTATACATTAACTAATTTTATTATATAATTTCTAAATGTTAAAATTTAATAAATAAAAATATTTTACAATTTGTAAAGATGGACAAAGAACCAACTATTTCAAAATTTGAAGAAGAGGATTAAGATGGAGAAAAAATGATTGAAAATTATTGGAGTTTTTCTTAATAATTTGCTTATTACATCCTACGATTGGTTGATTGATTAAGAACTTTTTTGATGATGCATCATTTGTGCAATATCATTTGTTTAAATATTAAACTGTCTTATATCTTAATTTCATTTACATTTCATTTAGATATATTTTGATTATCTTTATTTTATTCATTTTATTTAAAAAAATTACTTTAAGTAATCTTAATTTTAATTATAATTTTATATAAGTTGTTCAATATCATTATTTCCCGCTCCAGATATATTCTCTAACTTCAATGGTGGTGGAGGGAGGGTGGGGTTCACGTGCGTCGAAGGGGGTTGAGTCATTAAATCTTTTAAAGTATGTTCAAATATGCGTGATTACAAAGATCATATAAATTCGTAAGTACTTTCTATAAGACACTTTGGGCAAAGGGAACTAAACATGACAAAATATAGATGAATTGCAATAAGACTGTGCTTAGCATGGACCAAAAGACTAGTAAAATTGGAAGAGAAGAAGAAGAAGAAGAAAGTTCCGATCAAACATTAACATGTGTTAATGCAGAAATACTAAACTCACACTGATCGAAGTACGTAATTCGCGCATTCTCCTCCACCAATAATCATTTAACTAAACATATTGCAATTTCCTTCTTAAGTAAAAAGCAAAAGGAAGGATAAGAAAAAAAATGGAATATCTTAAGCAAACATATATATGTCCACATAAAAAAGCCAAGAGGCATAAATGCAAGACATCCACTATCTATATAACACCCATTCCCCACACGAAATAGCCACAGTAGCAACCATGGTTTCTACTTCCATACTCCCCAAGGTTTGTTCTTCTCTTTCTTAGCAGAATTATGCTAATGAACATTCTATCTACATATTTTCCTAATGTTCTCCCTTTCAGTCTGCAGACATAGCCAATGAGTTGAAGGGGGCGACTCCTCGTGCTGCAAAATGGTGGTTTGCAACCTTCCACAGCGTCACTGCCATGGTTGGCGCAGGCGTGCTGAGCCTACCCTACGCCATGGCTCACTTAGGATGGTAAATAAAAATTTCATACTGTATCCTATATCTCTGCAGACAGATTGAGCATCATTAAAAAAATTATATAGAATATTCTCTGTTGAAAATCTAATAGAGAGGAAGCAGAACAACGTATGTGGTTCAGCCTGGATTTTAAAGTTGGCAATTTTGTTGATATAGTGTTTTGTTTGTAGTCATAATTCACTGATTACATTGATCCCGTATTAACTGGTAGTGAAACATGCATGAAGAATGTTCTTTTACGCAACTACACTTTTTTAAATTCATTTTAAATGTGCATCTGATGAGATCTTAATCTGATTGCTTTGATATCATGATATAGGGGACCAGGGTCAGTAGCACTGATACTGTCCTGGTCCATCACTCTTTACACCATATGGCTGATGATCGAGCTGCACGAGTGCATCCCAGGGAGGCGGTTCGACCGGTACAGGGACCTCGGACAGCATGCCTTTGGGCCTAGGCTGGGGCTGTGGGTGGTTATACCACAGCAACTTATAGTTCAGGTCGGGTGCGATGTGGTTTATATGGTGACCGGAGGAAAGTGCCTGCAGCAGTTCTTTGAGATTCTACTTCCACACTGGAATAAGCTCAGGCAGTCATATTGGATCTGTATATTTGCATCATTTCAGTTCTTTCTGTCGCAGTTTCCTGATCTTAATTCCATAGCCGGAGTGTCCCTGGCTGCGGCTATTATGTCTTTGAGGTAACTGTAACTTGATTTTTCCCCCCTTCCCTTAGCTGTCCCACCGAAGGAGCTAGCAAGAAGATGTGCACAAATCTGGTGCAGATAACTTCTAAATAAATTTCAAAGGGTAAACAAAGACTAAATTTCTTCTCTCTGAGTATTTAAGATCTAATTTTTAGTGATCTTCCAAGGCTTTAAAATTAATTCAATAAGTAAATATTCAGTTCTAAATAGCGCAGATTTTTGGGCCAAAATGAAGGAGATATTAGTTTTCTCTAAAATTGACAGCAGGCATGAGTTAGCTCCCCTTGAGAAAGTTAATAATCTAAAAAAATTCTATGCTTAAGAGTTATTATAAAATATTTAATTAACTTTCATTACAACTTTGGAATATTTTAACATCGATTTCAGGACTAAATAGTACGTTATAATCATCTAAATGAGTTACCTACAGTAACTTATGGATCTCTTTAACTTTGAAAAGCACTGAAATAACCAGCTTATAAATTACACTAGAATTTCTTCAATACAGACAACACTAATAGATTTTCTATTTCATAATTATAGAACAAAATTGAGCTTATGAGAACCATTTCTGATTCACTTTTTTCTACAGTTACTGCACCATATCCTGGGTGGCCTGCCTCAGCCGAGGTCCAGTCCGAGACGTGAGCTACAGTTACCAGCAATCATCTCCATCAAACTCCACGTTCAGGGTCTTCAGCGCTCTCGGCCAAGTAGCCTTCGCCTATGCAGGCCACGGTGTCATCCTCGAGATCCAGGCCACTATTCCTTCATCAGCATCGAAACCATCGAAAGTTCCCATGTGGAAAGGGACGGTGATCGCGTACTTCATCACTGCCTTTTGTTACTTCCCGGTGGCGCTGATCGGGTACTGGACATTTGGTAGAGATGTGGATGATAATGTGCTCGTGTCGCTAAAGCAACCGCAGTGGCTTATTGCTGCCGCTAATCTTATGGTCGTCGTCCATGTTATTGGAAGCTACCAAGTAAGATTACCTGCTCCTACCAGTTCCAACTAGTAGTTTGTAGTGGCTTTTTTAATTAAATTTACCCCAAATTATGCACTTACATTTTTCCTGTTAGTTTCAAATAATTGAAGTGGTACTAACTTTTACTTAAATAAGCACTATACTGTTAGGATTCGATTCGGAACCTCTTCACTATTAGTAGAGAGACCATAAATATTTTACAGAATTATTAGGAATTGGAACATAAATATTTTACTGAATTTTGTAGCCGCTAATATGGATACAAAAAAAATGCTTTTAACATGGAAATTACAAATAATCGCCTCTTTAGTTTGATGGGTTTAGCTGCAAACTTGTGTGTATTAGGATGTAGATGTAAAGTTTCAGGTTAATTATTACTAATTCCATTATGTATACATATATGTAAATTATACAAACAGGTGGCTGATCAGGTTATGGATAGCCTTATCTTCTAATATGCCACTAGAAACATACCATAATGACAGGATTGCTAAAATAGATGGTAGATAATGCATATGATGTTTCAGCTGTCATAGTTGGTTCCGAAACTTGCCTGTCACTTTTAATTATCTTCCTTCTTCCTCTAGGACTTAACTAACCAGATACTTAATCTATCTTAAGAATGTTGTGCGCAGAAGACACTAATCGTTGTGCTTCGAGGAACCAAACCAAACACCGAGAGAGAAGACCAAACAAACTAAAATAACGGCACAAACACTAACAACCAATTTTACGTGATTCGGCAAGTTATCTACGTCCACGGGGCAAGCTGGGGATGAGTTTTCACTAATAGAGAAGGAGAGTACAAACTGAGATTACAAATCACTCAAAACAAACCAACTAATTTCACCAACAAAGCTCTCAATCTCTCAAACAATAACCCTAACCAATAGCTCCGAAATATCTCTCTTTTCTATGCTTAAAACAAACCCTTGACTGCTCCAAAAAAACACTAAAACATATGTTTGAATTTATATCAAACAGCAAACCCAAACCAAACAGAAAAACGAAATCAGGCCCAAACCCGAATAGCGATCGACCGCAATTGACGCCGTGGTCGACCGGACAGAACAACAGAACCCAAAATTCAATTATAGTGTCTGACAGTCGATCGCCAAAATCACTGCAGTCGACCGGCCAAAAATCCAGAATCTGTACTAAGTCGTGCACGTTGTCGGTCGATCATGCCAAAGCTCGCGGTCGACCGGAGAGCATCCGAATGTCTGTCAGCTCCATTTTTCCTAATCTTCTCCAATGTTTTCGTCGTTTCTATAATTCTCCACCTCGGCAAAGTTTCCCAAAACTGAGCCGACACTAACCAAACCAAATGTCCCACTTATTGGGTCAAGTACGAAGTGAAATAAATTCACGGCAACGGACTCAATCCACAAGTCGAGACCCTAATGAGAATGTGATCACTCTCCAAAAGTCGGTATCAACTCACGAAATCGGTTGTACCATAAAATGACTGCCTATGTATCCTCTTGCCTAAGGAATCAAACCTTCACGTAGTTCCCCAAATGGCCTCCAAAGACCCTCAATCCAGTAGAAGAGTTCCCAACTCTTAATCAACAAATCTGCGGTTGATAGCTCTCCCAATGGCCCCAAAGTGAAACAAACCAAATACCTCCACCTAAGGTGAACCAACAGTCATATCCAAATCCAAACTATGTCCACCAGCTACACTCGAATCAACCAACTCATCATCTGCATCCACATTAATATGATCCCCAAACTGTGTCACCTCAGTTGGAATCCCAAACGATGCATTATGATCTGGAGTATTGGAGTAATCTCCACCCAACGTAGAGTAGCATCATTCTCCACCTGTTGTGATATCCCAACGATCTGATCAACACTCTCCACCTCTCGAGAGTCAAATGTGATATACCTGCTCAGAATAAAATTAGAAACCAATACTTGATAATCAAACACGCCTCCGATTCTAAATGTGCACTCGGATCAAATCTCACATCCTTGATGTAACTATATGTTTGGCGACCAAACATTCGAAGCAACCCAATATATGAAGTAGCTCTACCAGATCCAAAATCTCTAAACACAGCAGTCCACAACCTATGACTAAGATGATCCAAATATATCGAAGTCCGGACACCAAAACCAATGTTCGACATCAAATATCGATCCTCCTCCAGTAAGAAACTACCCATCAAAACTTCCATCGCATCTCGTTGCCCCAATGTTTCCTCTCCAATGAAGTGTCTCAAACTGCCATGAACTCGGTACAAATGCAGAAAAGAACCCGTACTAAAAACAAAACATCATGTTACATTTTCGCCAATACACTTCATCCACCTGTTGTTGACTTCTAGGACTTCATACCAATGAGACTTGGTTGCAACCCATAAATACCTAAGACAGTCCCCAACATAGGAAACCAAATACCGATTACCTCCCAATGATGCCTCCTTAGAAGGCCCCCAAATGCCTGAATGAACACCACCTAGAAGACCCCTCGCTCGGTGAATAGAAGTGCCAAACTCCACTTCGGTCTCCTTGCTCATACTAATGTGCTCATAGGACTTCAATCTGCAGGTCAAGGCACTCATCAACAATCCATGCACGGTATCAATACTCGAATATCCCAGCCTCAAATCCTTCTTTCTCAGCCGTCTTCCACAAAGAACCAACAAACCAATGCGGAACAAACTGAAAGAAAATAGATCTAAACTACGAGAAAGGTAGATTTTTACCTCCAACTGAAACCCTAACAAAGGCCTCCAAAAGATCTCACCCCCACACGATGGAAAACAAGATCCACAATAGTCAAAATCCCACCATTACCACCAACTGAAACCCTAGACGAGCTTCCAAAGTGATCTACTCCTCTACCTAATACCCAAGCGTAGTCTGGGCTCTAGTAACACTTGTTGTGCGCGGAAGCCACCAATCGTTGTGCTTTGAGGAACCAAACCAAACGTTGAGAGAGAAGACCAAACAAACTAAAGTAATGACACAAACACTAACAACCAATTTTACGTGGTTTGGCAAGTTACCTACGTCCACTGGGTAAGCAGGGGATGAGTTTTCACTAATAGAAAAGGAGAGTAAAAACTGAGATTACAAATCACTCAAAACAAACCAACTAATCTCACCAACAAAGCTCTCAATCTCTCAAACAATAACCCTCCGAAAGATCTCTCTTTCTGTGCTCAAAACAAACCCTTGACTGCTCCAAAGAAACCCTAAAACGTGTGTTTGAATTTATATCAAACAACAAACCCAAACCAAACAATTACAGAATTTGTACTAAGTCGTGCATGATGCCGGTCGACTGTGCCAAAGCTCGCGGTCGACCGGAGAGTACACGAATGTCTGTCAGCTCCATTTTTCCTTATCTTCTCCAATGTTTTCGTCATTTCTACAAAGAAATCACTATCTCTAATTATTTTTCGATTTTAGATCTTTTCCGGGTCATTTTGACAGCAAAGTGACTACTTTCTGCATTATAATAGTTCAGTAATTTTTAGATGGTTGTCATTTATTCCAGTATAACTAATATTATTATCGCATAAAAGTTTCATTTCTCACTCTAAGATAAATCATAACCGTCTAAGTGATTTCAGTTTTCTTGCTGACTCAATGAAGTTATATTCGTATGATGCACATATTTAAATAATTATTTGTACTGTGATAAATCTCAGCCTATAAATGCAAACAATATTATCTGCAGGTTTATGCAATGCCAGTATTTGACACTATTGAGACGATATTGATAACAAGACTAAAAGCTTCTCGTGGAATTGCTCTGCGTTTAGTAGCCCGATCTGCTTATGTCGGTAAGAATTGTTATTATTGTTTTCCTATTGTTATGTGACATTAATAGGCTGTTGTAGTTGTTAAGAATTGTAATTATTGTTTTCTTATTGTTATGCGACTTTAATATGTTTGTTGTAAACTTTATCGTGTAATTTCAGCTATGACCCTATTTGTCGGCGTTACATTTCCTTTCTTCGCGGATCTTTTGGGTTTCTTTGGAGGCTTTGGATTCACACCAACTTCCTACTTTGTAAGTTTAGTACTTAAATATTGTTCACGAAGACAGACAAATCATTTAGATAGTTATTTTTATTTAACGGGTTAAAGATCACTTTATCCAGGGAGTTTAAATTAATAAATTTGTTAATTAACAATATGTACTAGACTTTTTATTTAATGTGAACAGAACTTCTGACTAAGACCATCTCCAATGGCAAGGCAAATATTGCCTTTCTCTCTCCTTCCACCTCACTTTATTCTCTCTCCACATCACTTTCCTTTTTCCAATTGCCTTTCAACTCCACAACAACTAGTTTTTCAAAAGTTTTTCACTTTATCTTTCCTCCACATCACTCAACCATATACCCCACCATATTTATTCATCCTATTATTCTTATTTTTTATACATTTTAATCGTTATTATATTTACTAATATATTTATAATTATAAAATTTAATTTTTATTATGTAATAAATAATATGTATTTTTTAATAATTTATAATTTTCAAAAAACTTAATTTTTAATGCAATAAATAATATATTAATTTTATAAAAGAAAACAACACACTATTATTAATGTAGTGGTGAACCAAACATACATAATTTATTGAAAACGTACAAGAAAAAATACACCAAACATACATAGTTTATTGAAACATGCAAGAAAAAACACACCAAACATTGAAAGTTTTTGACATTTCTATTCGAAGGTTGCTCCAAATTTTTGCCAAATGTGCTTGACGAGATCCTTTTTCAACTGAATGTGTTTGGCCCTATCATGGAAGAGAGTTGTTTCCAGGAACTGGTTGATAGCCATATGGCATATAAGGATGATTATACGGGTATTGCATTCCATAAATTGGTGGCATCATATTAGGATTTTGATAGCCATATGGCATGTAAGGATGATTTTCAGGCCGTTGTGTATTTGGATTTTGAGGTTGCATATTCGGATTTTGAGATTGGTTTGGATAGTTGTAATTTGGGAGAAAGTTTAAGTTAACTGTGTTAGTCTAAGGTGTAGACCCAAAGTTCGAGATGAAAGCTAGAATCAAAAGCTCAGAAAAACACGCAGACAGATCGGTGGTCGACCGGGTCGGTCGACCGAAAACGTGCACAGGAGCAAAGGAGGGCTTGGATCAGGTCGCGGTCGACCGGCCCGGTCGACCGTCGACCGCAAACGTGCACAGGAGCAAAGGAGGGCTTGGCGACCGGCCCGGTCGACCGCCAAACCCTGTAGGAGAAAACTGCTCTCGGGTTTTGCATCGGTCGACCGGGCCGGTCGACCGACAATGTTTCTGGAATCTGATCGGTCGATCGCGCCGGTCGACCGGACGTAGTTTTGGCAGTTTCCTGTTCTGTTTAGGAATCTGTTTCAACCAGGATTCTATATATACCCCAAACGATTTTAGGGTTTGTACTACATCAAAAAGAGAGTTTTTAACTGCAAAGTGAGAGAGAATCTCAGAGAGATTAACCCCTTGTTTGAGAGCTTGTATTTTCTTCTTTAATTAATAAAGAGATTGTGTGGTGTGGCTCCCGAGGACGTAGGCACGTCGCCGAACCTCGTTAAATCTGTGTGTTCATCTCCCTTACTGTTTTCTACAAGTTAAATCTTCATTTGTGGTTTTATTCCTACTTTCCTACTTTCAACACAAGGTCCGGAAGGGCAAGGGTTCGATTGATTGTTTCGAATCCCCAACAACTGGTATCAGAGCTTCGTTCAGTAATTTGTGTGAAAGCCATGGCAGAGGAAAGCAAATCAAAGATTGAGAAGTTCGAAGAGCTTCGTTCAGTAATTTGTGTGAAAGCCATGGCAGAGGAAAGCAAATCAAAGATTGAGAAGTTCGATGGATCAGATTTCGCCTACTGGAAGTCGCAGATGGAGGACTATCTGTACCAGAAGGACTTGTATTGCCCGCTGTTGGGCAAGGAAAAGGGAAAGAAGAAAGAGGAGTCAGATGGTGATTGGGAGGTACTGGATAGGAAGGCCCTAGGGCAAATCCGGTTATCGCTCGCCAAATCAATAGCCCACAATATTCTGAAGGAGAAGACGACGGCGGGGCTTATGGAAGCGCTCGCGAAGATGTACGAGCAACCGTCGGCAGCAAACAAGGTGCATCTAGTCAAAACTCTTTTCAACCTCAAGATGGCAGAAGGACGGTCCTTCACGATGCACCTCAGCGAGTTCAACACGATTGTTGATCAACTTATCTCCGTGGACATCACGTTCGATGACGAAGTGCAGGCCCTTCTACTACTATCGCAGTTGCCGGATAGTTGGGCAGGTTGTGTGACGGCAATCAGCAATTCGGCGGGGAAAGAGAAGTTGAAGCTGAATGAGGTTGTTAGCATGATTCTATCCGAGGAGGTTAGAAGGAAATCGTCCGAATCAGAAGGTTCAGGTTCAGCCCTAAGTTTCGAGCAGAGAGGCAGAAGCCAGAAGAAAGGGAACCAGAACAGGAATCGGTCGAAATCAGTGAAGAAGAGGCCGAACTCGAAGGTTAGGTCTATCAAAGGGAAGTGTTGGAACTGCGGCCAGGAGGGCCATATGTCTTCGGTCTGTAAAGCACCAAAGAAGGATGCGGGTGAGCAGGAGGCTCATATCGTGCAGGATGCCTTGATCCTTGCTATGGATAGCGATTCTGATTCTTGGGTCATCGACTCAGGAGCTTCTTTCCACGCCACTGCTAATAGGAAACTACTTCAGAACTATGTAGCAGGGGACTTTGGTAAAGTATATTTGGGGGATAATGAACCTTGTAATATTGTTGGAAAGGGCGACGTTCAGATACAGATAAAGGGCTCTAAGTGGAATTTGAAGAACGTGAGACACGTGCCGAAGCTGAAGAGGAATCTTGTTTCGGTGGGACACCTTGGAGCAGAAGGCTACATTTCGACATTCACCGGGGATTCGTGGAGGATCTCCAACGGTACGATGGTTGTTGTCCGAGGCAATAAAACGGGAACTCTCTACCTCACTTCACATGCGAGTGACACCCTCGTAATTGCAGCTGGCAAGGAGAGTACAGATCTGTAGCACAATAGGCTGGGGCACATGAGCGAGAAGGGGATGAAAATTCTACATTCACAAGGAAAGCTAACTGGGATCGACACCGTGGAAGTCGGGGTTTGTGAAGACTGCATCTTTGGGAAGCAAAAGAGGGTTAGTTTCCAGAAGGGTGGAAGGCCACCTAAGGCTCAGAAGCTAGAGTTGATTCATACAGATGTATGGGGCCCAGCCAGTGTGTCTTCTTTTGGCGGTTCGAGATACTACGTCACCTTTATCGACGATCACTCGAGGAAGGTGTGGGTTTACTTCATGAAGCACAAGTCAGAGGTGTTCGAGATCTTCAAGAAGTGGAAGGCCATGGTCGAGAACGAGACAGATCTGAAGGTGAAGTGCTTGAGATCAGATAATGGTGGAGAATACGAGCTGGAGGAGTTCAAGAGGTTCTGTGCTACGAATGGGATTCGCTTAGAGAGGACTACTCCAGGGACGCCGCAGCAGAACGGCATTGCAGAGAGGATGAACAGGACCTTAACAGAGCGTGCGCGGAGCATGCGATTACATGCAGGTCTACCTAAGACATTTTGGGCGGATGCGGTACATACGGCAACATACCTTATTAATCACGGGCCATCAGTTCCATTAGATTTTGGGATTCCAGAGGAGGTTTGGAGTGGAAAGAAGATAAATCTCTCACACTTGCGGGTATTTGGTTGCGTGGCTTATGTTCATATCAGTGACCATGTCAGGGACAAGCTAGAAGCTAAGTCACAGAAGTGCACATTCATTGGATACGGCATTGATGAGTTCGGGTATCGCCTTTGGGATGAGAAGAACAGGAAGATCATCAGGAGCCGGGATGTGATATTCAATGAGGAGGTGATGTACAAGGACAGGAACAATGCCAAGGATAGCCAAAGCAGTGGGAGCAGCACTACGGATACAGGTGGATCCGAGTACATGGATATAGAGGAACTTCCAGATAGGGGTGATGATGTTTGTTCTGACCGTAGAACGGAGGAGGCTCCAGGTGCAGAAGAAACTACCCAGGGCGTGGAGCTTAGGAGGTCATCCAGGGTACCCAAACCAAATCCCAGATATCTTTCATCTCTTGACTATTTATTGTTGACAGATAGCGGTGAGCCGGAATGCTATGAAGAGGCAATGCAAGTGAGTGAATCTCAGCAGTGGGAGCATGCGATGCAGGAGGAGATGGATTCTCTACTCACTAATGAGACATGAGAGTTAGCCCAGCTACCTGCACAGAAGAAAGCCTTGCATAATAAATGGGTCTACCGGGTCAAGCAGAAGAGTGATGGAAGCAAGAGATTCAATGCCAGATTAGTAGTGAAAGGGTTTCAACAGCGGG